TTCAATATTAATACAAATGCTTGGGATTGGCATGGACGGAAGACCTTGGCAGCTGCCTATCCAAGCTTGGAGAAATGAAATGTGTAATTTGCTGTAAAGATTCCGCTTCATTCGGAGCAGTTGTCTGGAGGCTATAGTATTGCTGAATATGAATATGAAGAAGAGCGTTTTATTAACTAAGCATTTATGTATGTATGTGTGTACATACGTATTTCATAAATAATAAATTTAGGGTGTTTATTTCAACACGAGGTGTAAAATTAAAAAATAAATTTTAAAACGATTTCGTTAATAGTTTTTGAGTTAGAGTTTTGTAACAGAGCCCGGTTCAAACAGCTCTAACAGCTTAACATTAAACACGTTTTTCTTAAAACTACGTTTTTCCCATTTGCTTGAGTGATTAYTCGAAGGCAAACTATGTAAGTAATTCTCCATACAATACCTACCAGTYTTTCGATCTGAACAGAACTAGAATTTTGGCAGGCAAAAAATTATCAAAATTATGAGTGCAGAAATCCAGACGCTGAACCAAGTTTTCGACGATTTTCATGCATAAATCRGCGATACTGCTGCAATTTCAAGTACGATATTCGTACGAAGTTGCTGGCTTGYTGGCATAGATCATAGACTTGCCTTAGCCCCAGTCGAAATAGTTTAACGGCGTCAAATCACACGACCAAGGCGGCCAATTGACTGGTTATCTCGTGAGATAACTCGTTCACCAAACTTGGTTTTCAATAAATCGAATTTGACATTCGCTATGTGAGATGTTCGCCGTTCTGTTGGAACCACATATTGTTCAAAAATATTCGGTTATTACTAAGCGGAAACGTTTCCCAGTCACAGTAATGTGCTGGTCTTGATCATAACGGAAGAATTACGGCCTATGACGCCGCCGACCCATAAACCGTAATTTTTTCAGTATGCAATGCTGACTCATCGAGTACGTATGGATTGCTGCCTCACCAAGAACGCATATTTTGCTAATTGACGATGCCATACACTCAGAAATAAGCTTCATTGCTGAAGATGATTTTTCGAAGAAAATCCGGATCATTTTCAAGTTCTTGCTCAGCTCAATTCACGAACGTGCGACTATTCTAAAGGTAAGCGGTTTCATTTCTTGCATCAATTTGATCTTGGAAGGTTGGAGCCCACCATCTTTTCCACAACAGCGTCACAGAGATGCCCAACGCTTGAAAACGACATGTGAGAGTCTAATTTGAGTTTTCCTCAATTGATACAGTAGCGACTGCAATTTTCTCAACACTACGTGCACTTCTTTGTCTCACTGGCACAGAAACATTTTGTACTCGTACAGTGCCTGTGGATTCAACATTTTCCACTGGACGCTCAATTGTTGATCTGGCTAGACGATTATAACGACCTCTTAAAGTTGAGACCACTGACTCCTAATTTTGGTAGTAAATTTTAATCATTTCGACTATTTGTTGAAATGACAAACTTTACTGAAGATAAATGTCAAAAGAAAAGGAAATATGGCATCGTTTGATGTTCCTATCAGTCTACTTTTGTAGCATCCCTATTGAAAACCCCGTTACTAAGAAGGAAACCTTACTTCAGCTTAAMAAATATCAAATTCAATCGAAAATGCTCACGTCAAAATTTCAGTTATTTATTATATAAAAACTCATTACGCTTTATGTTTAATAACATAACCTACAATGGTCCGTATAATATATAATTTGTCATCACATATCTTAGGGTGTTGTCGCCAAAAAGATTATTCGAATGAAATAAATATGTTCTCTATTCTTYTACACAGCAGTAGTAACAACTAAGAAATGTATGTAAAAATATGAGCGATTATACTAGATTTTATTTATTTCTTTTCTCGCTTTATTCAAATGTAATTTAAGCCATTGAAGCCTATATGGCCACATAAAATGCTATTTAATAAATATAAATAGTATGCGCTCTAAGAAATTGTCCAAAATGTCCAGAAATTCGAAAACTTCAATGAAAATTCTTCAAGTTAACTCTACCCACACTTAAACTCACGCCAATAAGCAGATGGACGGCACTTCCAACATTTAAGCACTTGCCATTGTCAACTTGTACGTCTGTGGCATGTCACTTCAAAAACCCATAACAATAATTGAATAATTTCGTTTTCACAGCTCAACCATCAATTGATGTCAATTAAACCATATTGATTACTCGCTTTGCCATAAATTCGGTTTAGCAATGGAAGTGGCGTTTTGACCTTTTGCTCTTTTCATTGTTATCGGACATAACATACATACAAATCGTTCAATTATAATTCAGGAGTTAGTAAAATTAGATTAAAGTAGTTGAAAGTTTAATTGAAGGAATTGAGAAAATGTTCGTGTAATTTCTTCTGCTCAGGAAGAAGGCCGACTTCCGAAACCGCATTAAAGGATATAATGCAGCAAWTTCAAAACCACAAAAAATTCAGATTCGATAAAATATTACGTTCAGTTAAATATGTATATGTACATATATATTTATCGTGTAAACTGACATTGAGTAATAAAAGACCAAACGTTCCTCAGGATCGGGAAGAAACTATTCGAGCCGTTCGATAACAAACGAGGTTTCAGACAAAGCGTTTCCCTATCSTGCAAATAGAATGGGTCTTATAGTGAAAGAGGGCAAGACGAAGTACGGTACGAAATATAGTATCTCCTGTCATCAACAAACTGCCTCAAGTTTCAACGCAGAATAACTTGCGCTCACAGGTGCTACTTCGGACATAGTCGGAGATTGAGTTGTTGTTGTAACGATTACCTAATCCCACCTCAGGATGATAAGGATGAGATAAGCCGCCATCRGCGTCATCCAACAGTAGGCCCCGGATGAGGTTCAGTGCTGTTTCGACGAGGTCGCACAAAAGAGAGAAGGGTGTCARATGAGTAGGRTTAGCAGGGCATGCAAAGAGGTATGTTTGAAGTTCAGGATCTAATCTGGATAAGTAGAAGTTTAACCTGCTACAGCATMCAGAACGAAGCTCCTCTCGATTTTAGCGGCAACTCGAGTTCTTCGTCTACAATTGACGGKGTTTTGACTCCAAGAAGACTATCCACTGAGAGGGAGTCGGTGAAGGTGTTAATSGCTCCGCTCTGAATAGCKGTCAGTGSTTGTCGAAAGCTAGTCATTCCCGTCCAGCTATWTAGTGYAGAGSMATGKATAATGTAAACATCTGATGAGYTCGCATTACSAGTTTTSGGGAGAGATTCTGCGAAAGATKTATGGTCCTCTGCGCATAGCCAATATTATTGAATTAGCTTAATGAATTAGCTTTACAAGATATACAATAGTTCAGCGAATTAAGAGAGGGGCTRTGCTGGCTAGGTCTTATTGTCCGAATGGGTGAAAACACTCCAGCTTTGCGAGAATTGGAAGAAGTATCCGCCAGGAGAAGCGGCGGATGAGGAAGACCTCCACGCCTTTGGAAAGACTAGGTGGAGAAGAATCTGGTCACACTTGGAATCTCCAATTGCCGCCAAACAGCGAAAAAGAAAGAAAGTCTTTGTTAATAATATGCTGAATAGAAACAAAGTTGTTGAGTTCGCTAAAAGTCAATTCGTTSATCTGAGCCGTCTTCATTAATCACGCAGAGAAGACGAGAAGCTATTAAAAAGTTTTAGATGAAGAAGGTAGATTTGGGAAAATGTGAGTCGATTAACTGATGGAGGATCAAAGAGCAGAATCGTAGATTAGCTTAGCTTAGTTTGGTATGCTAACGCCACGCATAAACCAGTTTTGGGCCTTTACGATGTCAGATGGAGTTCCGCTTCCCATGAGGAGAAGTAGTTATCCTTTAGAATGCCTGCGTGTAACGCGAATTTCAACACAGTCTGACCTCACTAAGATATCTCTTCCAGTACTTCCTACCGCCGAATGCTTAAAGCGRAGCCTTAGCAATGCGGAATGAGTGATTGAGCCATTGTTTCCCTGGCGCCTAGCTGCTGACATTTGTTGATCTTCTCATCAATTATGCTCCTACAGTTAATTCCGCCATGTCTTGATTATCCTTGACATCCTTCTGTTCACATCGTCGTATAGACAAAGCATCGGCTTTGYAATATTTACCACGTTACACCAGTATTGGCAATMTCGTCCACTATCTCATTGGCTCCACTACTACCCCGCTTTCCAAGATATTTCTGGCCGACACACAAAACGAGGTTAAAGCYTTGATTTCTGGTTGCCTGTTGGCGTAGATCCTAGAGTTTTCTGCTTATGCATTAGAGSCAGGTCCGCAGTCCTAGTATCAAAGGCCTATGCTTTAAATATAAAGCAGGGGTCCGTCAGTTTAAAAATTGCCTAATGCCAAACCTTGGAGAGCATATAACCACACCAACTCTGTACTCCATTATCGAGCCATGCATATAAATGAATCGATATTACTTTTGAAGGAGTAAAACTGGTTGTAACGCTTTAGCAACTGCCTGACTTATTCCAAGTCTTTATAAAATAATATTTTTCAAACCACTCAGAAACTGATGCCAATAAAAATTCCTCCTTAAACAGGCGAAAACATGAGTATAAAATTAAAGTAGACTTTGTATAGATATTCACAAACTCTGTATTATATTTATTTGCTTCTTAAATATTATTTAAGTACTTTTGATAATTTTAATTAAGATTGTTCGAAATGAAGAATTTTGCCAATTGATTGCTTACTGTTACAGACGTCAATAAATTTAATGTTTTTATTAAATCTAAATGTTAGGAATAACATCTTAATCTTATTTACTTACATACATCTGACAAATATTTAGTTACGTGTCTTGTTTATTTTACAAATTATCAATCGGTTTATACTTCTATGCTCCCCTATCTTCGCTCGTAATATTTATATTAACTGTATTTTCTATGTTGTCTGTATCTGCCACCGTTATGCGTCTGATAGCCGTTTGCGCCGGTGAAATGCTCATTTCCGAAATCGAATCAAATTCAGCATTCTCCTCTACTTCGGTGCAGGAACCCGACCCGAATGAACGCATCAAACTCGGACTGCTTATACTAAACTCCAACTCAAAGGGATCGTATAGTTCCTTAGAACTACATACACTGCCGGCCACCCATTCAGCGCAACTACTTTTTGGTTGCGGACGCGGCAGGCTGTTGTGACAAATTGGATTTTCCTCCGCCGACTGATCCGCTGCTACCGGTACTTCCTGACCCCACAGCGCCACTGCCCGTTCGCGGTTGATTGCGGCTCTCCGTTGTTGAGCGGCCAGCAATGCTCGCGGCGACTCTACCGGCAGGTGGCGCTGCTGTTGAGCTGTTTGGTGGTGCTGCTGTTTGACYTGCGGGTGCTGTCGTTGGTGGGTTTGATGTTGTGTCGATATCTCCGGTGGTAGCGCTGGGCGTTGCTGACGTTGTTGCGACTTCTTCACCGACACCCGCTCTGTCGTATTGATATGCGGACTGATCGTAATCGGCAGCTGTGTAGTCACCATAACCTGCCTGTCCGCCACTAGTGTCGTATCCGCTCTGTCCAGTGGTATCGTATTGTCCTGCACTAGCATATTGCTGTTGGCTACCATCGTATGCTGACTGATCGTAGCCGGAGACATCGTATCCACTACCATCGTATTGCTGTTGTCCATAACCCTCATAGCCGCTGTAGTCGGTATTGTAGTCATTGCTGGCGCTGGTGTTGGGAGCGGCCAAGTTAGGATCGGTGCCGCTGCCCGATATGTCTGCCCCGCCGGTGACGGTGTTGATATCGCCGGCTGTGTARTCTTTGGTATAATCTTTGTCATAGTCTTTGCTGTAGTCTTTTGTGTAATCTTTGTCATATTCTTTTGTGTAGTCATACTCGGACTTGGTTGTGCCAGCGGTGCTTGGCATTGCTGTGGTACTGCCGATGAGCTCGTTGCTGGTGCGCCGTTTTTCGCCTTCTCCCAAATTGTCTTTGATATTTTCGTCATCGGGATCRTTGAKACCATACTTGCTGTTGTAACCGGACTTGTAGTCTTTGAGCGCGTCACTGCCATCATTGGTTGTTGTCTCATAAGTGGGCTTGTTGTACAAGGAACTGGTAGTGCTTGTGACAGGTGCGGCATTAACGCTGTTTGTTGTGTTGGCGGTGCTGCTGCCRTAGATGTCRGAAGAGCCTGATTTACCGAGTATGGACTCGTAATTATACGGAGCGGACTTGGCGTAGTCATCAGTAATGGAACGTGTGGCGTCGGCTGTATCAAATGTGGACGGCTTGTAGTCGAGAGAGGCTGTGTGGCCATTGATAGTTATGCCAATGAGAAAGTAATTAAGTGAATAGCGTATATTTGTAT